CCACCCACCCACCCACCCACCCCGCTCCTACCCAAACTCACCCCCACCCCCCACCCCCGCTCCCCAAGGCCAACCCGCCACCGCGCTCGGTGTCCATGACCTTTGGCGAGGTAAAGGTGCCAGACACCTCCCGCCCCCGCGTCCCGCAGCGGTCAAGCACCTCAGGCTCGCTCCTTACCCGCCTGTTTGCCAAGGCCAAGTCAACCTTCCACTCGCCGCCGGCAGGTGACGTCGGCTCGGACGACGAGCCGGCATCGCTCACATCGGCCTCGCCGCCTCTTGCTGCCTCGGCCTTGGCCTCGGCCTCGGTTCCAGTGCTGGAGTCAGACTCGCTGGCGGTCCTCCCCAGCGCACCGCCGCTTGCCGGGCGGAGCAAGGCACGCGAGTCCAAGTTTAGCGGGCTCGACGAGGCCGATCAGGTGGCGGACGAGTTTCTGCGGACGACGTGCTGGTCGGGCATTCCGCCGTCGGCCCGCCCGCTCTGCTGGCGCATGCTCCTGGGCGTGGCGCCGCTCAAGGCCTCGCGCCGCGCCGGCGTCCTCGCCCGCAAGCACGCCGAGTACGCGGCGATGGCGAGCGGGATGGCGAGCGAGGCCGACGAGTTGGCGTCCAAGTATGAGCGCGGCTTGCTGAACCAGATCCACATTGACGTCCTTCGCATGGCGCCGTTCATGCCGCTGCTTGTCGCGCCGCAGGTCCAGGCCGCGCTCCAGCGGCTGCTCTTTCTCTGGTCGCTCCGCCACCCTGGCTCTGGCTATGTGCAGGGCATCAACGACCTCGCCCTCCCATTCTTCATTGTCTTTCTCCGCGGCGCCCTCTTGCCCGAGGCCTTTGACGCCCTTGGTGCGTGGTTGCCGACCCGGGTCGAAGCCGGTGACTTTACCGCCGCCGCCGCCCTCGCCGACCTCCCGCCTGTGCTCGCCGCACAGGGCGAGCCCGCCCTCGACGCGACTGACGCGCAGGGCGAGGCTTCGGAGCACGACACGCTGATGTTTGCAGTGGCGGCAGCGTCGCCCGAGGCGCAAGCTTTCGCGGCGCTCCTTCCTGACGACGCCTCGCTCCTGAGCGCCGAGGCCGACACTTACTGGTGCCTCACTGCACTCCTCGATTCAATCCATGACAACTACATCCAGAACCAGCCGGGCATTCAGCGGATGCTCAAGCAGCTCGAGCTCCTGGTTGGGCTGATGGCGCCGGACCTGGCAAGTCTCCTCGCCGAGTACTCGATCGAGTACATCCAGTTTGCCTTCCGCTGGATGAACTGCCTGCTTATGCGCGAGCTCTCGGCCCACCTTGTGGCGCGGCTCTTCGACACCTACCTCGCCGAGGGCGCCTTTGCCAAGTTCCATGTCTTTGTCTGCGCCGCGCTCCTCGTCTCGTTTAAGGCCGACTTGATGGCGCTCGCCACGCTTCTCCGCGAGCAGCCCGGCGCCGATCCGGACGGCGCCCACCACGACGTCTTCCAGGCCCTGCTCTCGTTCTTGCAAGACTTGCCCACCGCAAAGTGGACCGAGGAGAACGTCGAGGTCCTCCTCGCCGAGGCCTACGTTGCCCGCGAGCTCTACCTCGAAGTTCTCGACCGCGACGTCCGCTAGCGCCGGTACAGCCGCCGAATAAGCTGCTCCGACGTGAGTCCCTCAAACGAGTCCCACCCGCCGAGGTCCGAAATTCGCTGGATGAGGCCCTCGATCATGAGCGCCCGCCCCTTGGCGTCGACGTACGGCGGAAAGGCGGGGAGCCCGGCCTCGAGCCAGATTCTCAAGTAGAAGAGGCACTGCCGGACCCGCTCGCCCTTGGCAGACTCGCGCTCAATGACGTCGAGGTTGCCAAAGAGCGACTCGGCAACCGCAATGACAATGATCTTGATCACCTTATCGTGGTTGGTGGCAGAGCTCGGAATTCTCTCCTTGTACACCTCGATCTGCGCCTGCGACGGCATACGCGACAGACACTGCGTCTCATCCCAGTATCCGACCGCGTACCGAGCAATCTGGAGGACGACAGAGCGCGGGAGTCGGGCAAGGTGCTTAAACCAGGTGAACAGCGAGCCGCCGTCCGCCGTTGTGCCCGCACGCTCGCCGGCCGACGCAGTTGCGACAAGGCCTGCCCCCGCACCCGTGGCACCCGCCGGAGAGCCCGAGCCGCTCCGCTGGCGCAACAGCGAGCTGTCACTGCCCACGGCGGGCGGCGGAGTTGCCGTCGTGCTCGGCGGCTCGTTGCTCGTGTCCATGTCACCCACGTCTGCGTCCGAGTACGGCAGCATGGCAGCCAGCCCCTCGCCCGACATCATGGAGAGCCCGGTTGCCGACGTCGAGAGATTGAGCAGCGATCCGTCGGAGGAGTGCGCGCCGCCGCCCGAGTACGCCCCGCCCCCGTCCGAGTGCGCACCCTGGCCCTCGTCGCGCGACAAGAGCTGCAGCGCAAGGTGGTACCGGTGAGGGGCAAAGACTTGCGGAACAAGGACCGGTCGATAGACCCGCCGCCGCGGCCCGCGGGCCTTGGACGGCGAGCCGTGGGCCCGGCTCCGGGTCGGCGACGGCGACGGTCGCGGCGACGCTGTCGGCGTCGTCCGCGTCTTGCGCGGTGTGCCAGCTCCCGGCTCGTCACCGCTCAGGCCGCCCGAGCTCGTGCTAGCGCTCACCAGATCGACCGGCGCCAAGGCGTGCAACTGCTGGTCGGCCACGCGGAGCAGGGTGACGTACAACTCTGCCACGTCGCCGGAGCGGTCGGTGAGGATGAACGACGAGTTTCCGCCGGCCGCAACAGCAAGAATCCGCTGGCCACGGATGGGTCCGGCAAGCTCGGCAGGCTCGAGCTGGACCTGGCCCTCGACTGAGCCGCCGGCAAACCCGAGCTGGCCAAACGAGGCATTGCCAAAGGCGTAGACAACAGGTAGCGGGTGCGGCCCAGCTGACCGCGGATAGCCGAGCACAAGCGAGTGCGCCGAGCCGGCAGCAACCTGGGTCACAAACACATGGTCGAGCGACCGGACCCGCCGCGGGGTAAACGTCGCCGACGCCCACGGCAGGCCGAGCTGCCCGGCATTCCCGCCGCCAAACGCGTAGACGTGGCCGCTAGCGGTGGCCACAAGCGTGTGGCCCGACTCGAGTGACGCGCCGGCCGCCACGCTCGCCACCGGCTCTGGCACCGCGCTAAGGAGCGTGAACGAGTTGCGCTGGACGTGGGTCGGCCCAAGGCCAAGCTCGCCGTGCACATTCGAGCCGGCCACAAACAGCCGGCCGTCGGCAGCGACTGCCAGCGAATGGTACTTGGACGCTACCAGCCGGTAGACGCCCACCGAGATGAGCGGGCCAGTCCGCACCAGCTTTGGCTCGAGCAGCGTCTTCTCGTTGCCGTGCCCGAGCTTGCCGTGCTTGCCCGAGCCAAAGGTGTAGAGGTCACCAGTCACCGATGCCACCATCGAGTGGTACGGGCCGGCCGAGATGGCAACGACGTGCACGTCGTCCAGCAGGCCACACACCCGCCGCGGCGTCGGCTCGCTCTCCTCGCTCCCGTGCCCGAGCTTCCCGTACCGCCCATCCCCGAAAGAGTACACCGCGCCCGAAGCTGTTAGCAGCAACGTGTGCGCCGTTCCTGTCGCCACCTGCACCACTTGCTCGTCTGTAGGCAGCGCCAGCCGGATCGGCGTCGTCACGTACGGCGACGACTCTACGCCCGGCCCGTCCGACCGCAGCGACATCAGCGTCCGGGTCAGCCCATAGCCTTCACTCTCACCGTCGGCACCGCATCCGAGCTCACCGAGCCGGCTCGCCGCCGAAGAGCCCATGCCATACACCACCAGCGGCGGAAGCGCCGCCAGCCGTCGCATGTGGTGCGCCGCCAGCTCGTCCTCGGACGGCCCGGGCGCCGCGCACTCGCTAGCCTCCTCCCCCGCCGTTGGCGCAGCCTCGGCAGGCACCACCCCGCACTCACCGTCATCATCGCCGTCCCTGCCCTTGCTTCGGCCACCGTGTTGGGCGCCAACACCGTCGTCGCCCGGAGCCTTTTCGCCCTCCGGCGCGTCCCTGCCCTCGCCGGCCGCGCCGTCGACAGCAGGCAGTAGCTGGGCAGCCGTGGATTCGGGCCAGGGGAAGCCAGGGACGTCCACCTCTGTATTCGGTAGCAATGCAGTCTCCGGGTGTGCCAGGGCGGTAACGACCGTGTGGGCAGGACCAGCCGCCACGCCCGTCAGTGGTGCCGAGGCCAGGAGGACAACAGGGGTAGGAGTGGCCAAGCCCGTCAGCGCCTCGTTGCCACACCCAAGCTGACCACACCGTCCGTCTCCAAACGCATACAGCGTCGTCATCTCCACCCTCCCCACGAACCGACCGGTATCGGTCCGAGTCGGGTGTTCCGTCACTTGGCTGCCTTTGACCGAGGGGGGGGTGGGAGGTGGGGAGGGGCGGGGGGAAGGCGGAGCGGGACGGAGGCGGTGATCGAGTGTGGCTTGCTGGTCTGCGGGTGCTGATCGCGATCACGACCTTTTTTCAGCAGCTCCTTGCCTGCCTCTTGCCTGCCTCTTTCCAGACCCTCGCCCGACCTACGACAAGTGGACAAGGTGTGGAGGTATGGTTGCATGCTGATGGCTTTCATGGGCTCCGGTAGCGCGGAGGCTAGGCCAGCAGCAGGAGGCCGAGAGTTCGAGCCAGACTCGCGCCAGACATGCGCCAGACTCGCGCCAAACTCGCGCCCTAAGCGATTGTGATGGCGCAGCTCGGAGGACCGGGCACCGGCACCGGGCACCGGCACCGGGCACGGGCACGGCGGCCAGCGGTCACGGACACCACGGACAGTCACTTGACGCCAAAGGCCTAGCCAGCCAAGCAAGGACTCCGTAGAGCTCGTGGTTGTGGAGAGCCAAGCCGTTGTGGTTGCAGTGTGGCTGTGGGCTGGGCAGGAGCGGCATGGACTCGCGGGTTCGGTGCAAGGTCGACCATGCCAAGGAGGTCATCGTGACCAACTTTCGCAAGCGGCGGTGGGTCATTGTGGATGACGATGGTACGGGCGGATGGAGAGATGCGGGAGGGAGGGAGAGGGGGGAGCGACGCATACTCACGTGGTTGTGATCGGCGCTTGGATGTATCGATTCTGTGGTAATGATCTGGATGCTGGCCAACTCGTTGCTCCCCCCTGCTGGCTCTCTCGCTTGCTTGCCACGATCGCACGGTTGCTGCCTGCAGACGACACATGGCACTTTTACTGGGGCACGGGATCAGCGGCGCGCAACACGTTCAATCCCGAGATCGGGTTCCGGCTGGCCGACAATCAATTCATCAACCACTTTCCAAACCACTTTGAGCTGACCAAGAAGGACCTGATGGTGAAGAACATCAAACGGTACCGGAAGGAGCTGGCCAAGGAGGGCCGCATGGCCGAGTACGAGGCAAGCGACTTTCTGCCGACGACCTACACGCTCCCGGCCGACTACCACCTGTTCATCGAAGAGTACAAGCGCCGGCCGGCAACGTCATGGATTGTCAAGCCGGCCGGTGGCTCGCTTGGCTCGGGCATTTTTATCATGAAAAAGCTCTCGCAGCTGCGCAAGTGGAAGGCGCAAAAGCAGGCGGCCGGCTCGTCGGTCAAATGGGTTGTCTCGCAGTACATTGACAACCCGCTGCTCATCGGCGGGCGCAAGTTTGACCTCCGCATCTACTTTCTGGTGCTCTCGTACCGCCCGCTGAGGGTGTACATGCACTCGATGGGCTTTGCTCGGTTCTGCACCGCCAAGTACGACACCGAGGTTCTCGATCCCGAGGACCTAATGCAACACCTGACCAATGTCGCCATCCAAAAGCACGGTGACGAGTACAACTCGGCCCACGGCGGCAAGTTCTCGCTGCAGAATCTTCGCCTCTTTGTTGAAGGCACCCACGGGCGCGCTGCCGCCCGCAAGCTCTTTGCCGACATCAAGGCCATTGCCTTTCACGCCTTTTCCGCCGTCAAAAACGTCATCAACTCGGACCGCCACTGCTTCGAGTGCTACGGCTACGACGTGCTCGTCGACGACACCCTCAAGCCGTGGCTCGTCGAGGTCAACGCCTCGCCGTCGATGTCGGCCACAACCCAGACCGACCGGACCGTCAAGCACACCGTCATCAACGACGTCATCAACATGGTCCTCCCCGCAGGCTTTCCCGACCTTGCCGCTTGCAAGCTTGGCGTCGGCTCCAACCTCGACGCGCCCATGGGTGGTTTTGAGCTCGTTGTTGATGAGCTCAAGGACGCCGCCCGCCCGGGCAGTGCCTCGCCGCGCCCGCCGCCCTCGTCCGCCGCCGCTAGCACCCGTGTCCGTCGCGCCCGCGCTCGCTCGCGAACTCGCGGATCCACAGCCGGCCGCCCTAGTAGCGCAGCCGGCACTCGGACGCCGCGGTCGCGCCCGGCCTCGCGGACCTCGTCGTCCCGCCCGGCCTCTCGCCGGCGGTGACATCCACGCCACGCGCCGCAACGACTCGGGTACTACTCGTACTGCATCTCAAACTCCATAACGTCCTTCTTGGTGACAACGCCAACAAGCTCGCCACGGGTCACCACCCACATGTGGGAGATGACAGCCATCTTGAACAAAAAGTCGACCCGCTCCAACGGCGTCTGTGGCACAATCTGGAACGGCGCCTCGTCGACAGCGAGCACGTCAGCTAGATCGCCGGCAAGAGTGAGGCCCTCCAGGTACCGGAACAGCTCCGGGGAGAGGTGCGGAATGAGCCGAGCGAGATAGCTCGACATGGCCGGTGACGACAGCGCCGGAGGCCCGGTGCGTGACCAGACCTGCAGCTTGGCGAGGAGCGCGGCTCGGAGCGGCGAGACGGGTTCGGTGGTGGTAATCGACGCGACCGAGAGCAGGAGCGGTGAGGTCGCGTTCACCTGTGGCGAATTGACCTCGATCCACGACTCACGCCGCGCCACGTACGCCATGATCCGCGCCTCGAGCTCGAGCTCCAGCGAGGTCCTGGTCACCGTTCCGAGAAACGTTTTGTTGGAGGCCGAGTCGACCAGCGGGTACGAGGTGTAGTCGTTGTCGTACAGCGAGTTGAGCACGTCGAGGTACGAAGCGTCGACGGTGAGGTAGATGAGGTCGGTGCGCATAATGGTCGAGGCTCGGACGGCGTAAGCGTCCTCGTCAACTTGCGACGGCATGCAAGGGATGCCTTTCATGGTGTGCATGACGTCGTAGATCGAGACCGTGAACAGGTTTCCGACCGTGTACGCGAGCGTGACCGCGAGAAAGACAGGAACCAGGTGGTGGGTCTGGCCGGTGAGCTCGATGGCGATAATGGCGGTCGAAATCGACCGCGTCACTCCGCACGTCAGCGCGCCGGCGCCGACAATGGCGTAGCCGGCGGGGTGCAGGTCGAGCCGCGGCCAGGCCTGCGCCATGATCTCGCCGACCAGCCGGCCAAGGGCGGCGCCCATGGCAAAGACCGGGGTAAACGTTCCGCTCGGAATCGGGAGCACGATAGCGACAACCGTGAGAAAAACTTGACCGGGACAAAGACCGCGAGGTCCAGCAGCGACGATGCGAGCTTGTTGTCACTGCTCGCGTGGTCCGACGCCGGCGAGACAAGCTGATTGATGGTCACCTGCTCGGTCCCGACAAAATACTGGTTGATCGGGTACGAAATGACGGCAGTGAGGAGGGCAACGCCGACCACAAGCCGGTACGGGTGGGCAGCGAGAGCCGGCGTCGTCGCCCGCAGCCGCACCAGCTTGCCGGCGACATACACAAAAAGGGCGCCGATGACCCCAGCCACTATGCCGATGAGGGTAAAGCCGACAAACTCAATCCACGAGTACGGAATCGGCTTGGCCTCGGTGCTAAACAAGTTGAGGTTGGGGTAGACGTCGAGGACCGGAATGTTGCCGAGGCTCCACACAAAGAACACGCCTGTGACCGACGAGATGAACGCCCACGGCAAGAGGCTCACCCGGTAGTAGTCCGAAGTCACTTCGACCGAGAACAGCACACCGCCGATCGGCGCCCCAAACGTGGCTGTCACCCCTACCGCAATCGCCGCCGAGTACAGCTGCAGTCGCATGCCCGCGTCCGAGTGGAGTGCTGAGCCAAACGGCCGCATCTTCATGAGCGCCGCCGCCATGCCTGCTGCAAGGTGAACAAACGGGCCTTCGCGCCCCACCGAGAGTCCCGCGGCGTGGCCGGCGATGACGCCCACAAACTTGGCCAGCAGCGTCCGCGGCGCCAGCAGATCGATGTGGATAATGCCCGAGAGCAGCGACTTCATCTCGGGAATTCCCGAGCCCGACGCCGCCGGCGCCAGCCACGCCACCGACCACGCCGCAGCCATCGCCGCCGGAATGGGAAGCAAGATCCAGACCAGATACTCCCACAGATCCTCGCCCGGCAGCCGATACACCTTGTCGCGGGCCGAGAGCAGACCAAAGATAGCGGCGTTGACGGCAAAGCCCGCCAGCGAGGCCACGATGCCGAGAAGGAGAAGAAATACCGCAAGCAGAATAGACCGCTTCGGTCGCCGCATTCGGCGCCCACAGCATGCCACCTTGCGGCTCCTCGGCGTGGCATCAGGCATCTGATCGGCAGCAGCCAAGCCCGCCCGCCTCACACCACGCCCCGCACGAGCCATGCCCAGCGACGAGTAGTAATCGACAATGTCATACTGGGCAGAGATGGTCCGTGACGCCCGATCAATCCGTGCTGAGGCAGCCGCCTTTGCCCGCCGCTCGGCCTGCTCGTGTTCGCTGGCATGTCCCTGATTCAGCTTCTGCTGGACAGGGGCGCCATGGCCTCTGTCCTGCGGCAGTCGCTGCAGCCGCTGCGCCGGCAGCCCGTCTCCGCCCGGCGGCGAGTACGACGAGTGCTCGGTCGACGAGTCGAACAGCTCGCTCAATAGCGGCGGGCTCGTCCCCGCCATGGCTCGAGGTGTCGAGATGAGAGGGGAGGTGTGCGGTGGGGGCGGGAGGGGGGGGGGGGGGGGGGGTTGTGAAGGCAGAAAGCAGATCACAGATCACATCACATGTGCCCCAGCTCGTGGAAAAGGGCCAGCGGATCGTGCGAGGTGGTGAGTGAGAGGTACTCGGCCCAATAGTCAAAGACGATGGGGCAGCGGAAGGGAGCGATGGGAGTGATGGAGCGCGAGGCGACGAAGGAGGCCTGAGTGAGGAGCTTGTGAACGATCTCGGTTGCTTGCTGGTGCTTGAACGGATCGAGCCGCTTCTGAATGGTGTTGAGCCACTTGCGGACGTCGCGAAAGAGCGACGAGTCGGGCGGCATGACAGCAGGGTCGATGAGCCTGTCGACCACGGCAAGGATGCGGAGGTGGACCGAGTCGGATGAGGTGTCGCGCCAGGCCTTGCGCAGCGTGTTGAATGTCTCCTTGGCGGCCTCGCGATTAAGCCTGCACGAGTGGAACAGCCGCTCCATGTCATAGACGTTGAGGCCTGAGAGGAGCGAGCGGACAACCTTGTGGAGGACCGGGGTGAGGATGATCCATGGCGACTCGGGCTCGGCTAGGAGCTCCTGTAGGATGACGTCGCGGGCCTCGTGGAGCTTGCGCGAGAGCACCATCTTGATGTGCTCGGTGTGCGAAAACGGTGCGAGGCCCGTAAAGTGGGCGAGGCCTTCGACGAGCTCGGCTGCCTCGTCGAGTGAGAACGGATACAGCTTGTAGACTGCGTTCTGGGTAAAGACCGCGAGATAAAAGGTCGACGGCAGCTTGAGCACGCCGGTGGTGTACTTTGTCACGGCGGTGTAGTTCAGCCGGAGCGGGACGAGGAGCTCGACGCGCCGCCGGTCGTTTGGCGAGTACACCGTCGGCGTCCAGGCCAGCTCGCTCCGGGTCAGCAGGAGCGTGCCGGCCGAGGTGGAGCAGTACACGTGCTCGATCGAGTCAAACGACTCGCTCGTGCCCGGGAGATGGACCCGCAGCACGTCCGGATCGTACTGCACCTCAATGCCGGCGACCGAGCCGACCACCGTGGTCGACCACAGCGAGTCAGAGACGGGCTCGGTGGAAGTGCCTGGCAGCGATGCCGTGCCGCCCGAGCCCAAGCTGCCCAGCGCCGTCGGCGAGATGGCGCGCTCGATGTCGCCGGCCGAGATGAAAGACTCGAGGAGCGAGGCGTGCGACGAAAGGTCTGGCTGCCTGTTGGTCTCATGGTGGGCGGTGAGCGCCTGGACGGCCGACGAAAAGCCTGAAGCCGTGCCGAGAATGTCGGAGGGAAGAGCGGCGAGCTCGTGCGGATGCAGCGACGACGAACGCGGTCGGCCGCGCGGTGAGGTCGGGGCCGGAAATGCCTGGCGCGACGCCGGCGGTGCGGCAAGAGCCGGCGCCGGTGTCGTGGAGGCTGCAGCCGGCGCGAGGCCTGCATTGACCGGCATGGGTGGCAGCGCGACGACGCCCGGATCAACCGACGGCGAGATCTTGTTCGAGTGCGGCGAGAGCGGAAAGGCGATCCGGTCCCGGCTGCCGGGCTCGGGGCCAAAGCCAAGTGAGCCGCGCTTGGGCGAGAACAGCGAGGTGTTGGCAACGGAGCCCCCGCCTCCGCCGGCGTCGCCGGCGCCACCGCTGCCGACGCCCAACCCGGCACAGCGCTCGAGGTTGGACTCGGTCTTGGCGAGGACCTGGGTAAAGACCTCCTTGAGCAGAGTGATCGAGTCAAGGAGGCCGCCGCCAGCGTGCCCGAGAAGCGGCGCGAGCGAGAGGATGCGGTCGGTCGAAGTGAGGAGCGAGCGGATGAGAAAGGGTGACGGCGGGTAAAGGCGGATGGCGTTCTTGATCGTTGTCACCAACCAGCGGATCTTGGACGCAAGCTCGGCAGTGTGGTCGCCGGCGGCTTGCTCGTCGACTGCTGGTGAGGCTGAACGGGAGTGGAGGATGGCGTGAGAGGCAAAGCAGCCTTTGAAGAGGACAAAGATCATACCAAGTGACTGTGAGTATGCGTCGGACCGCGAGGGAACATGGGCGAGCCGGCCCACAAACCACTTGGACATGTGCGATGACGGCTTGGTGTACGGGACGCCAAAGAGGCCTTCCTGGCGGTGCGGAAAGGTCTCGGGTGCAATGTCGGCAAGCGCGTTCGGCGACGACGAAATTACCGCAAGCACAGCCGAGAGCGGCAGCTTGTCCAGCAACGAGCCGATGGCTGCGCTTCCGCTGGTCACATCGTAGAGGCGAACAAAGACGGCGGCGACAAAGAGCGCCGAGGTCGAGGTGGCCAGGTCCTCAGAGTTTGGCATGGGCGGAAAGACATCGCGCAGGTCGCCATTCGAACTTCCACCAAAGATCGAGCTCACGCCGCCGAGGGCCAGCGACGACGACGATTCTTTGTGGAAGAACGGGCCAGGCGCAAGCGAGTCGGGCGACCAGCCGGTCTCAGAGACCTGGCGCAGTAGCGGCGACAGCTCGCCTGTGAGAGATTCGAGGCTTTTGTTGAGCGAGCGCCGAACAAGCGACTCGATCTCGATGGCCCATTCGGCCATCTGCGAGACAAGGACCCGCGACGGCGACCGCTGCAGCGCCGAAGCAAGTGACAGATGCGACGACCGCGAGAACGAGGGTGAGATCTTGGCCAGCCGCTCCTGGGCCGAGTCGACGGACAGACTCGCCGACGTCGTCAATGAAGATGATGATGATGATGATGACGACGTCGGCTGATCCGGTGAGCTTGACGACGTTGTCGACGACAGCGACGGCGCCGACCGTGCCGCCCGCCATCTCTGCCGCACACTCCCCACCTGCGGCTGGGGAGACGGTGGTGAGGGCGGCACAGCTTCTGAGTCTTTGCTAGACATCTGCGGTGGTGATGACGACAATGATGCCGATGCCGATGTCGATGATGATGCCAAGACCAGCGACGACGAGTGCGGCAGAGGACCAGTCGCAGGAGCGGCTATGGTTGCGGTTGCGGCTGCCGGTGAAGGAGAAGACGACGACGACGACGACGACGACGAGCATGTGTGTGCCAGGCCACGGGCTCGCCGAGCGGTCGAGCCCGAGCCGGGAGTGGCCATAGGTGGAAAGGGGGTAGAGGA